TTAAACTGCATAAATTCTCCCAGAGACTTCAGTGATTAAACGAAAGGACTGAGAGACCCTAGAATGCCAGCACGGAGATCCATCCATACGTAACAGGAAGCTTGACTGGCTACTCAGACAGTCTACTTCTGAGTATACCACTCGCTTGGCCTCCTAGAATCTTGCCTCAAACTTGTAACTGCAATTTTAACCCTGGATTGTATAAACATACTATGAAACTCTCTAATTTGTTTCGTGGGAGCAAGTTGTTTTTCCAAATAAAACGCCAGATCCCACAAAGCTTAATTTCAATCCGCACCTAGCAGGCAAGGCAGCCAGTGGTCATTGTTGAGAAATTAGAGGAATTCAGAAGGAGATAGGGAAATAATGATTATTTTTACAGGCTAGTAGCAGGAGCCCCTTGCTCCACCAAATCACATGTTGGTAGGAAATCAGAAGCAACCAAGTACCTCTCTGATCAAGAAAATACTCAGCTCACATTAAAAATTAGTTCATATCCACCCTGTTGGTTTTCTTGAATTTATGTATAAAAATCTACAGGTTTTTAAAAGTCTTTGGTGTAAGGCAGGATGAACACAAAAGTATCAATCAAATACACTGCTTTTTTAAAAAAAAAAGAAAGGAGAAAGGGCAAGAAACGACGAAGGGAAAGTAACAAAGCTGGCGAACCAAATTCAGAGGAAAGCCACGTGTTTGCCCCACACGTGGGAGCCCGAAGGAGGCAGCCCTTGTTTTAGGAGCGATGGAGTTCCGCCTTACCTCTTCCCCACCCTCAGGGGCCAATCAGTGAGATCCGCTGAGCTACTCCTTTGCAAAAGATTGGGTCGGTAGAGGAAGAGCACAGATGAGGTTAAATTAAGCCGTTCCTATTTTCTCTGTCTCCTTTTTAAAATTCTTTAGGAAACCAAACCAAAACCTCCAAATAATGGGATCTGCTGCTAATCTACAATGCTGTCTGTCTGTCCTGGCCCGCCAGTCTGCTTCCCAAGTGCTCTCAGCTATAGAGTGAGACAATGGAGAAGAGGCCAAAGTTTATTTAAAACTGGAAGACAAAGACCTCGGTTTCAGAGGGACATGACCTCAAGAGACCACATGGCCAGAGGACAAAGGCTTCAGATAGATAGCTGTCTTACTCCAGCAACGAGGTCCAAACAGGCTAACTGCCTTGACTCAAGTCACTTTGGAAGACAAAGGAAGAGGCTGCCTCCTGCCCAACAAGAGAAGGCACAGATCCTTCCCAAGGATGAAATCTTCCTACAGGCCAGTGGCTCCAACCACAAACATACAGAACTAGGAAATGGAGGGGTTTCTTTGACCTCTGACTCTCTCTATGCCAAGTCCACCTTATCTTAGAAGGTGACAGTAACTAGCAAGGTACCCCCAGGACAAAGCATGGATGGGGTGGTGTGCCTTACACTCGAGTCCGTGTGGTAAAATCCTTGGGGAGTATTTTGGCATAGGCTAAATCATGCACAGTCAGTAAGTACAGTGAGTCCTGGAGTTGGACCACCTGGGTTCAAACCCCATCCCTATGGCTGGGGAACCAACAGCATATTTAACTTCCCCGAACCTCCATTCCTCATCAGTGAAATGGGAAGAACATGGTAAACAGGTGCCGTGAGACTCGTATGAGAGCTGTGCCAAATGGTACCTGGCAAGAACTAAAGTTAACTAAACCTAGTCATACTCTGCATTTTTCTCTAGGTATCTCATAAATACCTTCTCACACATTCACAGTATCAAGCTCTCATTCTACCCAATGGAAGCCTAGAGAAAGGATCCCAAAATGGGTTGATGTTTTTTGCCCCTACCAAAATAAAGGTACTTGCTACTACTGCTACCATCACTACTGCCGGACCACCTGGGTTATCGTGCATGTTTTCTCGCCCTCTTTCTGTTCTCTTTCCCTCTCTCAACATTCCCTTTGCTCTCTCTTTCAACTAGGCTTTTATTCCCTTTGGGAAAATGTACATTGAAGTTCAAATTCCAACTCTAGCACTATTGGTCTGTGTGGTGTTAGGCAGGCTTCTGACGCTGACACTCAGATTATTCATATGTAAAATGGGAATAAGAGTATCCAACACAGGGTTATGAGGATTAAATAAGGTAATACCCATAAAGTGCCTATACATAATAAACCCTTAATTACTTTGAGCTATTTCTTTCCTCGCCTGAGGATATGTGTATTGGTTTGAGAGAGAGAGAGAGAGAGAAACATCAATCAATTGCCTTCCACATGTGCCCTGACCAGGGATCAAACCCGCAATCTAGGTCTGTGCCCTGCCCAAGAATCAAACCCACAACCTTTTGGTGTACAGGATGATGCTCCCACCAACGGAACCACCCAGCCAGGGCTGAGCTGTTTCTTAATTTCCCACATTATGCACATAATGCAATGGATTTTTTTTTAATTTGGAGTAATGCCAAATTCTCTTCCTGCTGTAGAAGGGAGGGAAAAAATCATATCCATCAAATGGTCTATATGAAAATCTAAAATATAAATAGTTTAGAATATCAACAAAAAAGTTCATTTCTGCAAGGCACATTTTTCTGACTGTCAGGACTATCATGATGAAAACGGCCCAAATTTTTAAACTCCTCCACCCAGACACCTAACAGCTAATGCTGCGGGAGTTTACATCTCCTCCGTCATTTGGGGAAACTGTGGGTAGGTTTCTACCGGGAAAGGGGCACAGCTGATTTAGGAGAGAGCCACAGATGGAGCAGTTTGGGAGGAGCAGGTGGGCCAAGAAGGAGCATGCACCCCTCCCCCTCCCCTCCTGGCTGGACCATGTGGATTCATCACCAGGGGCTCGTGTACACTGAGGCAGTGACAGGGTAGGGACAGAGGAGATGGGGGGACAAAGGCATTGTCTTAATGGGTTTTCTTTTCTATGAGCTACATCTGTTTTGCTATGTGGGAACAGGTTCTTTAAAGCAATTTGAATAAATGCAAGTTAGAACTTAACCTCCCGTACCTGTTCCCAAAAGAGGGAAAGCAACGGGGGGACCTGAGATGTACAGAGCAACCTTGACTAGAGACAAGGCGGAGACACATGGTAATCACTTCCTGATGGTGGAAGACCTCATTCTGCAGTCAGGGTAGTGCACTTGGGCTAAGACAGGTACAAAGTTTTTGTAGTTTGTAGTTTGTAGTTTGGCCCAAGGTTTTAAAAGAAGTTTCAGACTAACCCCCCTTATTCTCAGAGGGTCAATAAGACTTCCTGCCAATTTGGGTCCCCACTTCTCACTCAGACCTTATACTGACTGAAAGGACCTGGAGCCAGAAGTCTGTTTTCTACTCCTTCATCCCCCCCGCTACAATCCCCGCAATAAGGAGCAGAATGACGGAGAGAAAGGGACGAAGACAGAGCCCACGAGACCTGGGGCAGGCTGTGCTCATGAAGACCGCTGTCTTTGGCAGGGATGGAGACCCCAGGCTGGCAGCAAAGGAAGCCACGTGAGGGATGCTTCCAATTTTACAACCCACTGGCTCCCACAGAGAATGGGGTGCAGTCGGCAGGGGGAGCTCAGTCCACCTTTCCTGCCTGGGACGTTCCAACTTGGTCAGCAACTAGTCTGGTGGACTGAGAAGCCCATCCCTGATTCAGCTTGACCAAAGCTTTGATTCTCTGGCCAAACACACACCACTGCTGGCTGCACGGGAAACACAGAGGGAGCCACAGGGCCGGCCTGGGCGGTTATTGGCAGTGAGAAGTGCACACAGAAGGCTGACAAAGACAGACAGGCTCTGCCTTGGACAGATAAACATAATCAACAGTCCCAGTCTTAACTCTGCTTATCTCCATGGCCCCTCGAAAGAGAAAGCACAAATAAAATATCTAGTGGTGGGACAACAGCTAGAAATGGAAATTAAAACAAAAAAAATCTGAGTTCTAGCTCCGGTGTGGCCCACATACATGTCACATCCACGCCACAGGCTCCGGAGAGCTGCTTTCAGACTATGTAACCGTGAGTCTCTGAGCCTCAGGATCCTCATCAAGAGAAGATACGCACTGGGAGTCTGTGCCTGGTGGTGTCGGGAGAAGATGGAGATGGTGTGTGTCAAGAGCTCAGCACACCGCCGAGCCCAGAGTGAGTCTCAGGAAAGTTTAGTGAATCATGTGACCACTTGTGAAGGGAGTGGGGTAAATGGGCTCTGTGACACCTTGTAGCCCTAACATTGTTCTTATTCTACACGTTGGTGAGGTGAAAGAGAAGGGGTCCTGGGCATGCTAACTGAGGAACCTAGGCTCAGGATTTAGAAAGCAAAGGCAACTTTGCCCTGGCATCTCTGTAGTGGAGATGTTCACATTTTGTAATCTTGAGTTAACTTGATTATTGCTAGGCAGGTCAACTGGCACTGTTGAAATACCGATCAGCGTGCTTAGAAAGCACTGCACAGGGAGTCCAGAGTCATTTTCATGTGGTTGCAGTCACACACTGAGGTGCCTGAGACCTGGGAATTCCTGGGTCTGGGAAAAGCCCTGGGTTCTTCTTGGTTCCCCTGACAAGACACCCAATTTCTGATGAAGAGTCATTAAGTCAAGAACCCCCTGTGCCTAGATTATCGTTGTCATTTGAATGGAGCTCCTTCAAGATGGGTCTACGATAGACTCCGCCTACAAACATTCACAGGTAACTGACTACCTGGCTAGCATTTGAATGAGGCTTCCCCTATGTGTGTTGCGACTCTGCATCTCCTTTCTGACTCCCAGTGTGCAACAGGGCCTCCACACCACGGCCAGCCCAACAGGGGAGTGACCAAACAAACACCCTCGCAGTGCTTATGTGGCAGAGGACAGAAGTCATTCCAGTAAGAAGTGTTGCCTTCTGGTGACCCCAACCCATCTTTCCTAGCTTCCCAGAGTTCTGGACACCGGTGCTGGCCCACCCAGAGAGTGCCCACTAAATTCCACACACTCTATTAGAAATTCAAGTGTAGACAGTATCCTCAACCAGACCAAGCTATTAGATATTAATGTTCCGACAACACCTACCTCACTCCAGACCAGCATGGTACCGAATATGACCTGTAACCCATCAAAGAAATTGTCCCCTATGATGATCACAGTGGCGCCTCCCGTGGTCCATCCTTCACTCGGGCTGATGGCTTTGATACAGGGAGTAGCTGCTTTTCCACACACATGAAAAAGAGAAGGAGTCTGCTGTTAGAATCAAACTTTAATGATGGGAGACTTGAGAAAAAGAAAAAAAAAATCTTTTATCTTTTCACTAACAGAAAAGTCCCTCAAGACCTCAGCATTTCCTGGCCGCACTAGGACCTGAAAGCTAAGGGTGCAATTTCAGGTTTTAAAAGCATTCTTTTCATTCCTTCTATTGAGAGACATGTATTTTACCCAAATCGTTTTCAAACCTGAAATCTTATGAAATGAAACAGAGAAGCAGTATTTAACTTATGAAAAGACTAAAGATTATTACAAATGAAAAATGAATGACTTTTTGGAACACACTGGAAACCTTATAGAATTGCTTCATAATTAAATATACATCCTGAAAAGAAAGCCCACAGATTTTTAGATAAACGTTTCTGTCCAATGGGAAGTAAGAGAAGGGAGGAGGCGTGGAACAATTTCTTGTTCCATGCCTTCTGTCTGTAACACTGACATAGAGCATTCCTTGTTAAAAATCATTACTTTTTTCCATTAAATGTTATGGGTCCCATTTTATAGATGCAAAGGATGCAGGTCACTTGGGGTGAATTACACAACCAAACAGCCAGGGCTGAACCACAGAGAGTCCCATGACCTTTGCTTTGTTGTCATTCCCAAGCATAAAAAAAAAAAACCCTAGAACTGACTTTTTCAAAATTTCATGTCTCTTCCTTTCCATTGTAAATGGCCTTTGGAGATGAGAAACACTTTGCAAGTACTGTAATTCCAAACAGCCTGGAGGTGGTTGACCGGTGAGCATGGTGTACTTTCAAAACAGTTGCCGGGCGTAAGTGTGATCATAAGGTTATGTTTCCGAAATATCTGGGAGGGCACCTTCCTCGTGCTGAGGATGCTGAATGCCACGATGCCACGCTGCTTTTCTCGTGATTACGTTTATGAACACGACCAAAGCAAAATTCTAGAGTAAGGAATGTACTGTGCAAGGAGAGAAAATGAGACCCTCCTCTTTAATAAAAAGTTTATTAAGTATCCAAGACGGACTTTCCAAGCACCGAAGCCAACAAGAGCACCAGTTCATTTTAATGGGGAAAAAAAACTGGCAAAAAAACTATTGGACTTTGTCAAATTTGGCAACATGTCAGGCGCTAACTTTTGCAAGAAGAAGGAAAATATGAAGCCCAGCCCGGCGGGACCATTGCTCACGTGCCGCCACACCAACGAGAGAATGGGTTTGGTTTCGATTCAAATTAATCTTATAAAATCGCACAGAGAAATTAGGAAATATCCAAACTAAACATTCCATGTTGGCTGAACTCATATAACACCATTTACAACGAGAGCTGGGCAGTTCCCATGCCTGCTCTCTCCTCTGCTCTCTCCCCAAAACAAAACAACTGATCAAGACAATGTAAATGACTCGTGACTCGGAAACCCTTGTCCAGTTTTGAATGCGCACAAAGGTGGTGATCAAAGTTTCCCCGGGCGTAGGACTTGTTCTGAAACAAAATTTTTCTTTAAACGTCAACAGGTTTAAATGCATAATCAAGTACTCCAAACCAATGGTAAAATATGATGTATGACTTTGAGCAATGTCTAAAAAATAAATCAATAAACTACATTTAACAACTACATAAAATTCTTAAAATAAAAGCAGTTTGGCGACATTCTAGTTAATGCCTCAAAATCTTAACTCTCAATGTCCAGCCCAGCCAGCGTATTAGGCTGCTAGAGCACAGCAGGAAAGGCCTTGCTGCACCCCAGGGGACTTCTGGGAGGAAGAGGAGGTTAGTGTAACTGGACTGGTCTCGAAAGGGTCCTTCCTGCTGGGCAAGTGTGGAATCCAGTGGTATTATTGCATGCTGACCCCGTGATTACTTTCATAAACCACAAAACAGTCTTGGTGTTTGTATCTGTATTAGTTTGGGGATTTCTTTTAATTTTTCAATTGTTTTTTAAATCACACAAGTATGCTTCTGTGGATAAGCAGGGCCTCCTCCAGGTTTCCTCACCACGGCAGAGAAGGAGACAGAGGGCATGCTGGTGTATCTTTGAGACTCTCCTACAGTAAAAATGTCCCAGCAGCAGAGCCAAGACCTGCTGGTTTTAGACTCCATCTCCTCCCTCAGAATGTATATAAAAGGGTATGTGTGTGTGTGTGTGCGTGCTTTCAAGTATTTCCTAAGGAAAATGGTGTTTTCAGATTCTGTGAGCCACTGTCCAGAAACAAAGGTATATTGGCAACTAGTCAGAACTCGTCAGAAGAGAGCAAGGGCAGCAAGTGTCCGGAGATAACCTGGTGAGGAGACAATATATGACACTGTCTATTGGATTTTGGGAGGAAAAAGCCTTGAAAGGAGTACCCCCAGGAAAAGAGTGACACACCCCATCTCTTGATCATCCTACCTCACTACTCAGCATCATCTACCATCCCTGCTTGGAGACTAGATGCTGTTCTTAGCCCTTTCTACGTTTAAAGAGCTCAACTGATTCTACAGGTGCTCTTACACACCTGTACGTCATAGCCGTCTTGAGAGGAAGCCCCCTCGGACTCCCCCACTGGGAAGTTTGGAAAATATGTAAAGGAATCAGGGGCTGCCCCACTGAGAGAGGGAGTGGGGAAGAGATGTTCATGGCATTTAGGACCTGGAGGGTCAGGAGGCTAAGTATCAGACAATGCCTGGCCTGGCCCTCTCACACGAAGAACTCTAAAATATTGATAATGCAAGGTAAAAGGCACTTTGCCTACTTACAAAGATCAGCCCAAGAACTCACAGAAGGTATTCAGAACTCACAGAGCCACACAGGCCACATCAAGAGACACAAACGAATAGAGCAGCTCAGGGTTTCAGAACAAGCATGAGAGGGGCAGTCCCTGACACTGGGGAGTGAGGGAGCAATGGGAAATGACGGGGCGCTGGTGAACTGAACTGCTGGCTATGTCCCGCATCTAAAGGTGTCTTGGCTCCAGCCATCGGGAATGTCACACAAACACAGGCTGGGGCCTGGGGGAGGCAGGGGGGCTCCAGTCTTCTGATCTTTCAAAAGAAGATGGGAACCCAGATTTTTATGCAAATTTTCCCAATCTTTATATGTCAGCAACTAATTCAATAAAATGCGTTGGTTAACCAAAATGTTTACGGGTAGACTGAACTCACTTTTACCCGAGTCACAAACTCACCAGACTAAATGCAGCCCAGGAAATACTTGCAAATATGACCAGAACTACGGGTACCCAACTGTTCCCAGCAGTGCTGGCAGTAAAATACCCAGGAATCTGGGCACCCCCAGCGAGAGAGGGGTTCAGTAAACTCTGGCACATCTGTATGAGAGAATGCTAGGAGTGTCATCGGAATGGAAGGAAAAAATTCTACAAACTGACATGGAAAGATGTCAAAATACATTAGGAAGGGGGTAAAAAGCACTTCATAATCTAGAGTGTGGCCCTGTTTATGTTAAAAATGATGTCTACGAGCCTGTGTGTGCATTAGTGTGTGAGCATGTGTGTGTGTGTGTGTATATGGGTACGTGGGAACAGGTGTGACAGACGAAGGTCTGGAAGGACGCTCACCCCCCGTGGTCAGAGGGTCCGCATGCAAAGGCACAGGACTGGGGGCACTGGCAGAGAAGGGCGAATATTAAATTCTTCTCGATAGAAATCGGCAGGGCTTGAATTTTTTCAGTGAGCATATATTAAGGTGATGCATTATTATAATTAAAAATTAAGTAACAGCAGAGCATTTAATTCCGTGAGAGGTAAAGATTGTACTTTTTAAAGCAAATTGATACTTATTTTTTTTTTAAAACCAGGCTGCACTGAGTAGCATAACAGACCCTGGGCCTCTCCTTCGCTCTTCTTTTTGGGTAAGTTGTCTCCGAGGAAGCTCAGACATCTGTCCCAACCAAGGACTGGTTCTCCTTCCTCTCAGAATATCCAGAGACACTCAAGGTAAGACAAGAAGAGAGTTTCTAGTGTAGTCACTGTGGATGTATTCAGTGGAATTTGAAGGTGAAAAGACTTATAAAAGGATTCAGTCCTGCTCAGGAGCATAGTAATCAACACAGTTCTATCTCCAAGAAAATATTATGAAATGGGGGAGGGGGAGGGAGTTTGACTATAAAACCACTTTCACCAGCCAAATCTTGATTTAATTAACGAAAGATTCTTCCTCACCAATGAATTTTCACACTTCTAGGTACCCGCAAGGACTGCTTGCCAATTCCTGGTTGTAAGCCTCATGAAAAAGAAAAGTTTGGGCGTTTTTATTTTTGCCTCTTTTTTTTTACTCCCCCCTCCAACAGCCACCAAAGTAGAGGAGATTTTCCTTCCTTCAAACTATGACAATAACATGATTACCCCACCACAGTTTAGCATAATGGCTCTGAAACGCTCCTGGCACATTGCAGAGTTAAAGTGGAAATTATTAGGTAGCTCTTCTTTGTTATAATAATGATCACTCCACAAATAAAAGCTCTTCTCCCAAAGGTACTGCAAGGCACAAAATGCTAATTCTGAAGATTATGTGCGCGCTTTTATTAAATATTACTCTGCCCTGTCTGTTTGAGGGCCTCTCTGCTCTGATTGTTTTATGAGTGCCGTGTTAATGTCATTCCCATCTTGCTAGCAGCAGGCACACATTCTAGCGTTTGTATGAGAGTTGATCAAAGGCCACGTGCTGGGGGAATTGCTGAGAAAACACGGACAAGCGATAAAAATCTAACAGATTAATTGGTTTAAATTTCATTTCAGGGTGTTGAACTTTGGCTCGGGACTCTAATACTACACCGTGAGTCAGGGCCTAATTACCAGATTTCCAATTTGCTTCTGAACAATGGTCGTGGTGAGGGAAAGAGAGAGAAGAAAGGGGGGGGGGGCAGGAAGAAATCGTTCAGCCTCCAGTACATATTTAACAACTAATGTTCTGTGTGCAGACAACTGCACCAGGGGACACTGATGTCACCTGTTCTGCCTCCACGGCATTCGTATTCCCTCCCAATAGCC